ATGAGGGTAACAGTACAGAGTGCAGGATACACTGTTACACCTGCTGAGAAGGTGCAGAGAGAGGTCAATATTAACATTAGAGAGGTCCATTCAAATGTCTGATAGCAGTGGGGAAGAATCTGTTTGTAGGTGTATAGAAACTTTCATATTTTCTGCCTGATGGAAGAGGATGGAAGAGAGTATAATGGGGTGGGAGTGGTCTTTGAATATGTTAGTTGCTTTCTGATGCAACGGGTAACATAGATGAAATCAATGGATGGAAGGCCTGTTGGATTGATGGACTGGTCTGCATTGACAACTCTCTGTAATTTCTGGTTGTTGACTTGCCCGCCGAGCTGATAAGTTTGTTTGCAGATGTTTCGTCCCCCTGCTAGGTAACATCATCAGTGCACCTCCAGTGAAGCGTCGTTATTCTGTCCCGCTTGTTACTTATGAGTGTTGGTTTGTTGGGGTGGGTGGCATTACTTCCAGATTTGTTTCTTAGTGGTTGGTATATGGGGTCCAGAAACAAATCTGGAAGTGATGCCACCCACCCCAACAAACCGAGGCACTTAAATAACAAGTGAGACAGAGCAACGACTCTTCACCGGAGGTCACTGATGACGTTACCTAGCAGGGGGATGAAACGTCAGTGAACAAACTTACCAGCTCGGCGAGCAAGTCAACAACTGCACCAACAACCTGAGCTACAAATCTTCTCGAAAAAATCTCTAATTTCTTGCGGTCTTGGGAGGAGCAGCTGCAATACCAAGCTGTGATTGGTGGAGTAGCAGATAGTGAAGGGGACTGTCGGAGAATGCAGCAGAATATAGATAGATTGGAGAGTTGGGCGGTGAAATGGCAGATGGAGTTCAATCCAGGCAAATGCGAGGTGACGCATTTCGGAAGATCCAATTCAAGAGCGAACTATATGGTAAATGGAAAAGCCCTGGGGAAAATTGATGCACATAGAGATCTGGGTGTTCAGGTCCATTGTACCCTGAAGGTGGCAACGCAGGTCGATAGAGTGGTCAAGAAGGCATACGGCATGCTTTCATTCATCGGACGGGGTATTGAGTACAAGAGTCAGCAGGTCATGTTACAGTTGCATAAGACTTTGGTTCGACCACATTTGGAATACTGCGTACAGTTCTGGTCGCCACATTACCAAAAGGATGTAGATTCTTTGGAGAGGGTGCAGAGGAGGTTCACCAGGATTTGCCTGGTACGGAGGGCGCTAGCTATGAAGAGAGGTTGAGTAGATTAGGATTATTTCCATTAGAAAGACGGAGGTTGAGGGGGGACCTGATTGAGGTCTACAAAATCATGAGAGGTATAGACAGGGTGGATAGCAAGAAGCTTTTTCCCAGAGTGGGGGACTCAGTTACTAGGGGTCACGATTTCAAGGTGAGAGGGGAAAAGTTTAAGGGAGATATGCGTGAAAGTTCTTTAAACAGAGGGTGGTGGGTGCCTGGAACTCGTTGCCAGCAGAGGTGGTAGAGGCGGGCACAATAGCGTCATTTAAGATGTATCTAGACAGATATATGAATGGGCAGGGAGCAGAGGGATACAGATCCTTGGAAAATAGGCAACAGGTTTAGATAGAGGATCAGGATCGGCACAGGCTTGGAGGGCCGAAGGGTCTGTTCCTGTGCTGTAATTTTCTTTGTTCTTTGTTCTTTGTTCTTTGATGCATCTGAATAGGATGCTTTCTATGGTACATCTATAAAAATTTGTATCGGTCATTGTGTACATGCCGAAATTCCTTTATGGGCACCTTTTTCTTGAAATGGCTGATAGTTTTCCATGGAATTAGCCTGTTGGTTATTTTTTGGGCATCAGTCACACACAACAACCAGAAAAGCGAAAGCACCACCACAGCCATTGAAATGGCTTTCATTTGATTAGAAGAAAACAGAACAGGAATAGGCTACTCAGCCCATTGAAAGCATATGATTTTCAGTTAGATCATGACTGATCTTCTACCTCTTAATGTCATTAGTTGCTAAAAATGCGCTGAACATGATGAATGATAGTTTCCACAGCCCTCTAGGAGGAGATTATGTCCCCTCGTTTTAGAGTCACCAACTTGAGGAAACATGCGGCGACACTAAGAATTTTGTAAATTTCTGTAAAATTGTCACTCATTCTTCATACATTTTGATGAATGCAGACGCAGTTTCCTCAAATTCTCCTCATAAAAACAACCCTACCCTCCCAGGCACTAATCTTGTGAACGTCCATCACATTCCCTCCATACCAAGTATATCACTCCTTAGATAAGGAGACCAAAACTGTACACAACACACCAGATGTGGTATCAAAGATCTATGCATTGGAGAAAGGCATCTTCACTCCCGTCTTCAAATCCCCTCAAAATGAAAGTGACTCATGAACACACGTATTTCCCAATCTCTCACTTTTTAAGAAATAGTCTTTGTTGTATTCCTAAAGAAAGTAACTTGTATCTACCGCATTCTAGCCCATTCACTTAACTGTCCAAATCTGCCTGAAGTCTCCTTGCACCCTCCTTGCAACTTATATTCCCACCAATTTGGTGTCATCAACAAATTGGAAAATATTGCAAAGGTCCCCACATCTAAATTGTTTATGTGTATATTGAACAGTTATGTTTAACAGTACACCTTTAGTAATAGCCTGCCAACTTGAGCATGATTCATTTATTCCTAAACTCTACTTTCTGTCTACTAACTAATTTTCGATACCTGCTAGTACACGTTCCTCAATCCCATACACTATAATTTTATTTACTAGTCTCCAGATAACTAACCACAAATTAAAGCTTTGGACAAACCAATGAGTAATTCTGGACACTGCAGTGAGACATTTCTCAATGCTGCCCTTGCAAGTATATTTTGTAAGGCTTATGAAGGTCAGCTTGTTTGGTGGTCAGAATCATCCTATGTAGGAAGAATCAACAGAAATGCCTGACTGTAGATAGCATCGAGTGTAACAGTTTGAATTTCTATTCTATTGTGAAATTGGCAAAAGGCTGACTCTGTTCCAAAGTACATCAGTTGCCTGTTTTTTACATCTGTTAATTGTCAAGTTGATCAATACCACTGTTAATATCTCAGTTAGTCTACAAAATTATAACCATTGAAGTGGAGATGGCATTAACTGGAATTATTGGTTCCTTGCTGGATGCCATTGCAGACCACGTCTAGTGGTATAACTTCACAATTATAAGCCGGATTTGATGAGGTTTTTGGTGGGGGTGGGGGGGTGTACAAAAACAAAGTAGCAATCCTGTCCTAGTTCCACTGACACACCATGCAGGTGTTTAATATTTGAAGGGCATTAGTTGTCTTGAAACAAGACTTTGATCCCCATTTGGTTTCCACCTTTGCGAGGTGCCAGCCAATTAAATGGCTGACAGTTCCTCAATCCCAGCACCTTCACGGAGAGTGGTATCCACTGCTGGGAATGTGTCCTGGTCCCAATGCCGCAGAGCTGGAGTGAGAGGTAAGGAGGAGTTGGCTCGGCATGGGTGTGTAATCACTGGCACCACTGCTATTCCGAACGTTGTGCTAATTAAATGGGATTAAGAGCAGCTGATACCAAATGGCAAACATTGGCATACATCTATATAAGAAGCAGTTGGTATCCCTGACTATCTGTCTCACTTCTGAGGTTATGTCCTTACCTGGGCCTTCTGAAGTTGGTGAGTACCATAGTTACTTTAGCATAATATTTCTATCCAAAACAGTTTAATTGAATTTTAATTTTGCTTTGAGGCATATGTCATAAGATGATTATTTGAACAGAAGCTAGTGGCATGGTTATGGTGAAATGAGAATGGTCCTAAATCATAAGGCAACTTTTGGAGAATCAGTGCAGACACGATGGGCCAAATAGCCTCCTTAAGGATCATAGCAGCTTGGTGAAGTCAACTGTATTATGCAGAGATGGTAAACTGGACTTATATATGGTATTCGTTCATTCGTTATTTATGCTACAAATAACATTCTCAAAAATCCTAGATTTGTCAAACACAACATCCCCTTCATGGACCCCAATTAACCCTTTGCAATTTTACCATGCCTTTCTAAATTTTAAAGCTAGATTAGAAGTTAATTCACTAAAAATAAATAAAAAGACTAACCTTGAAGGAGAATTTAATCCTTAAAAAAAATCATATTCACCAGCTCACAGTGCAGACCAAAACAGCTGATTCAAGTTTTTGCAAACCTTTTTAATTTAGCTATGTAATTAACAAGCTGCAGCTGCTAGCTTTTCATGCATCTGTTTTAAGACTGGAACAACTTCTGTCAAATTGTCATTTTTAGTCAATTGCAAAATTGAAGGTCAAAACCAGACTTTAGATTGAAATTAACCCTCGAAACTCTTACTGTTATACACCAGCTCTCAGCGCAGATCAAAACAACACTGAAGTAGGTTTCCTTTAACACTCACTGAAAAATAACTGATTCCATCCTCTGTAACCAGTTTAATCAGGTAGACAGCTGTGCAAGTTATTTAGAAACAAAGAAAATGTGAACAGAGGAAAAACTTTCTCACAGCAAGTAGTTAGGGTTGGGAATGAAGTGAATGAGAGGCACGTTCAGCTGAGGCATTCAGAGAGCTTGAGATGATTATTTGAATGGAATCTAGCTGCACCGTTGCAAAGAAATGGGAACTGAAAGAACTGCAGATGCTGTAAATCAGAAACAAAAAACAGAACTTGGTGGAACAGCTCATCAGGTCTGGCAGCATCTGTGGAGAGAAATTAGAGTTAACGTTTCAGGTCAAGTGACCCTTCCTTAGAAGGGAGAAATGAGAATTGCCCTAAGTCATGAGGCAAATGTTGGAGAGTCGGTGCTAACATGATGGGCCAAATAGCCTCCTTGAGGACCACAGCAATTCTGTAAAGTCAGCTGTATTATGCAGAGATGATAAACTGCGTTTAATTTCAGCGTATCTCTTACAAGGTCAAAGCAAACATGTTGTTTTAAGGCAGTCAGGAAGTTTCATGAAAATATGACACCTTTATGCATTACCTGAGGTTTATTCTCTTCCTCATCTTTGTAATAGTAGAGCTGTTCTCCCCTGAGGACAAACCATCGCTGCTGCCAGTTCTTCATGATGCTTCTCTGTTTCTTTAACCATCCTGATTTTAATGCTTTATCCTGTAGACTGGGCGAGGATGGCCTGCTGGAAACTCGACTGTGCTCTCCCATCACCATGCTTTTAGAGCGAGCTGGCAACACAACAAAAAAAATTACCATTGTAAAGCCCAATGTAAGGATTGAACAGAATTTATCAATACCAAAACTTATATTGAGACATAGCCAAGTGCCAAAAAAAAATCCGACATGGTATGTTTTCAATATTTGGCCCACAGTTAGATCATTAGAGGCGGGAAGACTGGGACTTAATTAAATGGGATTAAGAGCAGCTGATACCAATTGGCAAATATTGTCATACATCTGTGTAAGAAGCAGTTGGTATCGCTGACTACCTGTCTCACCTCTGATGTTATGTCCTTACCTGGGCCCTCTGAGGTTGGTGGGTACCATTGTTACTGTAGCGTAAGGTTGAAGAGTGATTTTATAGAAGTTTATAAAATCATGAGGGGTATGGATAAGGTGAATGGCAGGTGTCTTTTCTCTAGGGTGGGGGATTTCAAGACTAAGGGGCAAATGTTTAGGGTGAGAGGAGATAGGTTTAAAAAGCACATGAGAGGCAGATGTTTTACATGGTAAATGGTTCGCATGTGGAATGAAATTCCAGAGGAAGTGGTGGATGTGGGTACAATTACAATGTTTAAAAGATACTTGAATAAGTATGTGAACAGGAAAGGTTTGGAGGGATATGGGCCAAGCGCAGGCAGGTGGGCCTAGTTTAGGATTATCGTTGGCATGGACTAGTTGGATTGAAAGGCCTGTTTCTGTGCTGCATGACTCTATGACATTGTTGTTAAAGTCTCAAAAAATATCTATCATGAATGACTATAACATGAATGTAAAAGCATCAGGGAATGTGAACTTGAATTTTTTTTTAATTGAGGAAAAATCCATTTATCAAATACTGTATATCTCAATTGCCGTCATGTTATGAATGCTTGAGAATTTAATCAGTCCTCCAATTTTGAGCTTCTTGGAAAAACATTGCATAATTGACCTTATACTCTAGCCACATGCAGTTTGACAATAAACTAGCTTATTAATTAATGCAGATGTGCTCAATCTCTTGGACTTCCAGAGTCACACAAGAGCTGTTCTTATAAATAAGACCATAAGGAACAGGAACAGGCCATTTGGCCCCTTAATCCATTCAATAGGATCATGGCTGATCAGGTATTCCTCACGTTCCCTTTCCTGCTCTTTTCCCATAATCCTTGAATCCCCTTGTGATGAAGAATCTATTTACCTCAGCCTTAAATACACTCAAAGACTTTGCCCCAACAGTTCTCCGTGGCAAGAAGTTCCAAAGACTCACAACCCTTTGAAAGAAAAAATTGGCTTCTTCAATTGGTATCCTTAAGTCTGAGACTATGCCTTGTGGTCCAAAACTCTCCCATGAAGGGAAACATCCTCTCAACATTTACCCTGTCATGCCCCTTAAGAATCCTATATATTTCATTGGGCTGACCTCCCATTTTCCTAAATTCCAATGAGTAAATTCTCAAGCGTTTGTTCAGAAGGCAATCCCTCAAAACCAGGGATCATCCTAGTGAACCTTCTGTGAACTGCCTTCAATGAAATATGTCTCCTTAAATAACTGACCAAAACTGCTCACAGCACTGCAGATGTGATCTCGCCAGCACCTTTTTACAGTTGCAGTAAGCATTCCCTACTCTTTTTCTGAAGAAGGGACTAGACCCGAAATGTAGCTTTCCTGCTCCTCTGATGCTGCTTGGCCTGCTGTGTTTATCCAGTTCTACACCTTGTTATCTCTTATATTGCTATCCCTTTGAAATAAGGACGAGCATTCCATTAGCCTTCCTGATTACGTGCTGTTCGTGTGTGCTAGCTTTCTGTGTTTCTTGCTCGAGTGACCCCCAAGTCCCTTTGTGTTGCAACTTTCTGCAATTTTTCTCCAATTAAATAATTTTCAGTTCTTTTGTTCTCCTTTCCAAATATAACACACCTAAAATTCCAACATCATATTCCATTTGCCAATTGTTGTCCACTTAGTTAACCTATCATTATCTCTCTGTAAACTGTTCGTATCCCTCTCATTTCTACCTATAGATGATAGAAAAGAAACAGAGGGGAAAAGAAAGGCTTGCTTTCACCCATCCCATTTCATCTGAGAGACTGCTTGAAGTAATGTGACACTTCCTTGAATTGCCAACCTCAGCAATGTGTTGAAATGCAACTTAAATCTACAATCTGCTGCTTCAAAAATGAGAGAGCACAACTGAATGACTCATTCAGCCCAGATTCTACAACTTGGCAAGTATGCATCCAAAAACATTTACAATTAAGGCTAATGGGTTGCTGTGGTGCAGAGCATTGGGTTTAAAAAAAATGAATATTTCAGACATTGTCAGATGCTGCAGTAGGAATTCAGTGATGCAGTGACAATAACCCATTAGAGACTTCAGCAAAGTCAAGTTAAATGAAGCTAATGTCCCGTCCCTTCCCATTGGTCTCAGCTTTGATGGAGAGACACTTAACCACATCTGGAATATAAGCTTTCTCAGTTTATGGAGGTTTATAAAATCATGAGGGACATAGATAAGGTGAATAGCAAAGGTCTTTTCCCTAAGGGAGGGGAGTTCAAAACTAGAGGGCATATTTTTGAGGTGAGAGGAGAAAGATTTGAAAGGGAACTGAGGGGCAACCTTTTCACATAGAGGGTGGTTCGTACATAGAACGAACTGCCAGGGCAAGTTGTAAATGCAGGTACAGTTACAATATTTAAAATACATTTGTACAGGTATGTGAATAGGAAAGGTTCACCGAGATATGGGCCAAATGCAGGCAAATGGGCAAGTTTAGTTTGGGAAACTTGGTCAGTATGGACAAGTTGGGCTGAAGGGTCTGTTTCCTTGCTGTATGACTGTGACTCTAGCTAAGTTGCTGACTGTAGAAATTTGAGCATCTCACTCACTAACATTTTTCTGTTCTGATCCAGCTGATGGTAATACTATTGGATGAGTCATATCCCAGAATGAAATCTGGCTTGATAGATCATACGTTTATTTTTTCCGTTGATTAATGTGGTGGTTAGTCACTGAAACAGATTCACATGAGGCTGCAGGTTTTCTTTAACATCAGAGCATAAGTACAATAAAGAAAAAATATGAAATATATATTATATATATGTACATATATGACAATAGGAAGATCTTAATACAAATAAAAAAGTAACATTCAAATCTGTTTCCCAAAGTTATCCTTAAGCAGACACACAGTTCCAGTTAACTTTCATTCCCACCTAAACGCTAAGTTTTTATTTAACTCATGTCTCCCAATTTCTTTCCAATGGACTGGAGGGACAGTTTTATGATTCTTTTCTGAGTCTACTGGCATGAACATTTCAAAATTCTGATGGCCTGATCTTCTTCATTTCCAACAGCTTTAAGATTTCTATCGAAACTCCTTGTTTAGATGCGCCACAGTTTAAAATGTTTGGCTAGGATGACTGGTTCCCCTGAACTAAAAGCATGATCTTCCTGCTGAAAGAAATTCCCTTCCTTCCAAACTGAATTCTGATTCTTCTGAATTGAATCCAAAAGCTAAAACTCATGGCTTTCAGGTCTGTTGTAAATGTAACAGTATAAACATTCCATCTATTAACACCACAGGGGTCCAGCCCAATACTTGATTGCAGTCACAAACTTTCTTGGAATTGATGCACTTGGGTCATTGTTTTAAAATACATTCTGTCCTGTTTTTAAAAAAAGTCTTCACAGAACTTTTTCACGCAGAGGGCAGTGCATGTATAGAATGAGCTACAGGAGGAAGCGGTGGAGGCTGGTAAGATTAGAGCATTTAAAAGGCATCAGGATGGGTATATGAAAAGGAAGGGTTTAGAGAGATATGGACCAAATGCTGGCAAATGGGACTAGACTTATTTAGGATATCTGATTAGCATGGATGTGTTCGACCGAATCTGTTTCCATGCTACACATCTCTATGACTATAACCATCCCACATCCATCTGTCTCTACTTTAAAATCTAATCCCAAATATAATATACAAAACACCTTTCATCGTACTTCCTAAACAATAGAAATGATTGATTGCAGAATGTTTTTGTATCCCTCTCTCGACGTCCCATGTTTAAGTATTAGACAATACAATTACAGTCATTTATAGCCCCATATGTAGCTCAGGTACATTTTCCAGATGAGACATAATCCACAGTAATTTTCTATGCATCATGTTTGTTACTGGGAACACTGAACTTTCTTGCCTGATTCTGTGGAGAACTTGGAAATATCTCAAAAACTGATTATTTTGTTTTGTACAGTCTTGATCATTCAAAAGATACTTTTGAACCGTCAGCACTTCAATAATTTTCAAGCATTTAAATAAAAAGGGGTAATTGAAGCTTTCTTCTTTCCCAAAATCACTTGGGTTGATAAATGGCAAGTAACAAACATGCCACTCAAATACGAGGTAATGACCATCTCCGATAAGAGACAATCTAATCACCACCTCTTGACATTCAATGGTGTTACCATCACTGAATCCCCCACTGATCAACATACTTGGGATTACCATTGATCAAAAACTCAACTGGATTTGTAACGTAAACACAGTGGCTAAAAGAGCAGGTCAGAAGCTAGGAATACTATGAGTAACTCACCTCCTGACTCCCCAAAGCCAGACCACCACATACAAAGCACAAGTCAGGAGTGTGATGGAATACTCTCCACTTGCCTGGATGGGTGCAGCTCCAAAAACACTCAAGAGGCTTGACACTATCTCAGACAAAGCAGCCCACTTCCACAAGCACCACACCCCCCTGCCCCGACGCTCAGAAGCAGCAGTGTGTACTATCTATAAGATGCACTGCAGAAATTCACCAAAGATCCTCAGACAGCACCTTCCAAACCCACAACCACTTCCATCTAGAAGGACAAGGGCAGCAGATACATGGGAACACCACCACCCACAAATTCTCCATTCAAGCTACTCACCATCCTGACTTGGAAATATATCACTGTTCCTTCACTGTCGCTGGGCCAAAATCCCAGAATTCCCTCCCTAATGGCATTGTGGGTCAACCCACA